AGTTAAAGCACTGCAGTTAAAGCACATCTTGTTCGTTTCATTTGAAATCCATTGTGGTGGTGTATAGAGCCAAAAATGTTAGAATCGTGTCGATGTCCCAATATTTATGGACCTGACTGTATGTATGTATGTATATATATATATATATATATATATATATATATATATATATATATATATATATATATATATATATATATATATATATATATATATATATATATATATGTGTGTGTGTGTGTGTGTGTGTGTGTGTATATATATATATATATATATATATATATATATATATATATATTCACAGCTATACACGTGTTCTCTACGGGTCCACAAGAGACAAGTGACTCGCTAGTGAGCACAGGGTTGCAGGTTTTGAAAATAATTGTGGGAAGACTGATGAATGACCGTTTCTTCCTCACGCCTACTGACTACTGCAGGGAACTGAATAATAGTTACATTGCAAATGCTGAATCTACACACTTAAACAAGTAGCTCAAAGCAATAAAACATTGATCTGTTCTCTTGTACATGATCGTTGTCTATGAAGATGCTGAAGGATTTGATTTTGGAGGGTAGTATCTTTTTATATATAATGCCAGACATTATGCAGCCTCTCACTGCTGATGATTGTGTAATGATTCAGGTTTTAAACAGGTAGAACAAGTGGGCCTGTTCTTGTAGGTCTGATTGAATCAAACCCTGGTGTGTGGTGTGTGGTGTGTTTCCCCCCTCAGTGCGCTGAGAGCAAACCAATCACACTCTGGCGTGGACCGAAATGGCCGTCTGAGTGAGGTGGTCTCGGTCCAGTTCCACTCGAACTCTAGTGCAGTTCAGTTGAAGTGAGAAAGCGATTCGTCCCTGAATCCCCTGTTTGTAAACGCGAGCCGCTAAACACGCCGTGAGGCACAAACTCGGAGTCAAAGCACAGAGCTGAAGTGCTGCAGTGTGTTCAGGAAACTAATAGATGGATGTGATACACTAAATATTTAAAACTAGTTATTAATGTAATCATTTAATCATTTATTGAGCGCCAGCTCCATGTTCTCCATGCTTGGGTGAGTTCTATACGTGTTTGCCAAAGGTTTGTTTACATGTTTTCCTTGCTTCATTTCTGGCTAAAGAATAATTTTTTTTCTTTTTGATTGGACGTACTGCATTCAAGTGCTGCAACTGCTAATGACATTGCATCTTTTTAGTATTTTGAGCTAATAATAGTGACATGGCATAAATATTAGATAATATCGCTTCATAAAACTTAGCAATGAGAACGCGTCTGTGCCGATTAGTGGTGTGGTGTTGCAGTGTACCACTGTTTTCAGGATAAATGTTGAATATTTATATTTGTCTTTTTTTTTTTTTTTTTTTTTAAAACCCTGCCTTCACAGACAGTCGCACAGCTTTACAGATTACGGCTGTTAAAATGAAATTCACCGTTCTTTTGTTATTATAATTTTCAGAACATTTACATAGGCTAAATCAGAGGGTCACATTTAAAACACATCTGACTGTTTTAAGATCCTGTTTAGTGGCCTAACAGGAGTCTATTGAAACACGTTTGTGGAGTTTTAGATAGCAATCTATGTATTTTTCATAAATAAAAGAAGATTTGAGTCAGAAACATGGAAAAGAACTTGATTTCATGAATTCTCTTGTGTTGTTTATACAGGAAGTAGCAGTCTTTGTCTTTGATAAGAAGGTTATTGACAGATATCAGAAGTTTGAGAAGGACCAGATCATCGATTCGCTCAAACGAGGAGTTCAGCAGTTAACACGCTTACGACACCCACGCCTTCTCACAGTTCAGCATCCTTTAGAGGAGTCAAGGTGAGACACAGACACACACACACACACACACATGCTCCAACACACACTCAGACGCACTCTGTACAGACAGGCTTTACACCATACTCATTTATAGTTCAGCTCCATTCTGAAAGAGCTTGTTATATAATTTAGTGGCAAAGCAGACTAGTGAAGTGAAAGAAAAGGAGAGAAACATGTAAAGCATTTGCTGTACATTGGCTGAAATAGCTGCTCTTCTGTGTAGAGCTTCATCAAAAGGCACAGCTCAGCTTTGGGGAAGGGACTATGAATAATACATGTATGAAAGAGAGAATAGGGAACAATGATGTTCATCTCCTCATATTCACCCTGTACAAACCACATCTGCTTAATCCTAGTGCACAGTACACGATTTTAGCCCCAATCTTTCAGTTTGGCAATGAATTTCGGGGCTCATATTATATTCTCAGCCATGAATCACAAAGTGCAAACCCCTCAGAGACTAGCTGCAAATTCAGCAATGAGAAACAGCCAGTGAGAGCCCAAGAAGAAAAAAAAATTCATGTCCTTTCAAGCGCAGCAGGTTTCTGAACCCAGATCTGTCATCCATCTGTATGTGTGAGAGGGCAAGGGCAAAATATAAGCACAATAACAATGCTTCTATATGAAATTATTTGGCAGGTTCTCTTTGCAGAACAGACAATCCTCGCTGCTTGCATCACTCCAACCAATGTTTCCTCCACATTTCCTTGTGTTTCTCTTTTTTCCTGTTTCCGTGTAAAATAGTCACAAGGTCAAATGATGGACAGAGCTTGCTTGTATCTTTGTGAGAAAGCAGGATTTGGGAATCTCTCCGTATCAGAATTTTAAATTTCACAAATTTATAGGATGAATGCTTGAGTCCACCGGGTGTTACTGTTAATTGTACTCAAATCTCTTTCGCTTTATTTCTTTTTCTCTCTCTTTTTTTTTGTTTTCAGGGACTGTCTGGCCTTCTGCACAGAGCCTGTGTTTGCTAGCTTGGCTAATGTGCTGGGCCAGTGGGACAATCTACCTAGTCCTGTTCCCACAGACATCAAAGAGCACAAACTCTTCGACGTGGAGACAAAGTATGGCTTACTACAGGTGAGACAACAGTGCCGGTGAAATCCCCATATTCACTCCTTAAAAGGTGCAATAGTCAATTTATCTCATTTATACAACCGAGCAGTTGAGGGTGAGGGCTTTGCTCAAGGGCCCAGCAGTAGCAGCTTGGTGGCACTGGGATTTGAACCCACGACCTTCTGAGTAGAAATCTAGTGTCTTACCCACTGAGCTGCTACTACCACGTGATTTGTAAAGATGCAATATTTTTTCCATATTTTTTATTTCTTACTTACAAAATAACCGGGAGATATGTAGAACATGATAGATAAAAAAACAATGGGTTAAGCAGTGGACATTTGGGAAAACTGATTTCTGGTCTGGAATGCTTGCTTGTGTTTAGATGCACTTTTTGTCAGTCAATATATAGACTACTCTACTCTGTGCTCCACCATAGATCCTGACGATGGAGCTTAGTGAACATGGGCAGGAATGTCGAACCCACCTAACCTTCAGAGACCTAATCTTGAGGAATAAAAATACTAATCTTACTTAATGCACTCTTGGATAGTTTTTAGACTGATGCTTTTTTTCTGAACATGAGACCATTTGTGCCAAGAATTCAGTACATTACCAAACTCTGTGTGGTCCTGGGAACAATCTAAAATGCTGATCTGTTGTCCCAGTCTAGTGAGCTCTGGTGTGAGCTGCATCGTGTGCGTAGCCGTTGAATCACACGATTGGATTGTAATTCATTCACAAGGGCAGGACAGCCATTTTGGTCTGATGCCGAATGCGTTCTGGGTGTGTGGAGTGGAGACAAAGCTTTTACAGATAGTCTTCATTTGAATTGTTGAGTAAAACCACAAATTAAATTAATAATGCATGAATAGGAGCAGTAAAACAGCGCAGATATTGTGTGTTATTTAATGATTTCATGCACAGCAGATAAGACGTATAAAACTGGGGCTTGTAAGTAATCGTCTGTGTGAAAACAAACATGCACTGATATAGAAACAATGATCCCAGAATCAATACTGGGTGCAGACCTCAAGTGTGAACACACTCCTTCTGTTCAAGAAGGTGTTGGCACAGCTACTTTCACAGGAGCTTCTGAATAGATACCACACTGTGTTCATATCTCAGTGCACATGTACTGAGTAAACCTACATAAGTGCATTTCCACCGATCTGGAGATGGTACTCTTCCACGTCTCAGCAGGTGTTGTGATTAGGGTGGTAGGTGGTTCCTCCTGCTGAGGACCTTGGAAAGAAGTGCTTTAGATGCTGTTTCAATTTAGATGCTTGTGCACCATTATTGATGCTAAAAAAACCTTGGTATTGGCAGATTTTGTTACAGATATGACACACATTACTCATGTAATGTAATAAGAGAGCTTGTTTTGAGTAGTTACATTTTATGTTTGGGGGGGAAAAAAAAGTGGAGGGGTTCTCAGGGACCCCTTTAACTGTAAAATCAATTCCACAGAGCTGCTCAGTGCAGTTACAATTAATGAAAATTACCTAAATGTGTAAAATTATATTTCTATTTCTGCACTTTTCACTGAATGAAAACATTACGTTTAAGTTTATTTGTATGCCCACTTTTTTTTTTTGGATTAAGTTTTGGAGTAAACCTCATTTAATTCACGTGACCAGTGAAACAGGCTAATAACTATTAGAATGCAATTATAAGTGTAATAAATGTGGATTGTGATTTACACCACTGTAACTAAATAAAAAAATTATTGAACCCCTGATTATGCTTCACAGACCCCACTTTGAGAACCGCTGATCTTGTGTATAACTTTTTTTTTTTATCCGCATAATGCAGGTGATAAAATGGATTAAAATGTTGCCACCTTTTATCTTATTGACATCCAGTTAACCTTTTGGTATATAAATGCTTTGTGTCCTTTCCTGCAACAAACAGCCATCGCACAAGTTGTTGCATACATATTACTATTTGTATGCATGCTTTCTCTTTGGTTTGGTCTGCCTGACTGATCCCTTGCTGAATACGGATGACAAAAACTCCTCGGTGTCCTGTGTCTCCTCTATCCAGATATCTGAGGGCCTGTCCTTCCTGCACAGTGGGGTAAAGATGGTGCATGGTAACCTGTGTCCAGAGAACATCATCCTGAATAAGAGTGGAGCTTGGAAAATCATGGGCTTCGATTTCAGCATCTCTTCCAGCAACCCGTCAGATGCAGAGGTCAGAAACACTGCGTATTATATCTGTGGAGCTAGAAGTAACAACCTGAGTGGTTATATAAATGTGTGGTAGGGCTGTCAAATGAATTTAAAATCCATTAAAAAGGTCACAGAAAGGCCATTTTATCACAGACTTTAACGTTTCAGGTTTGTTTTGATTTATTTATGCAGTTTCATTGTTGCTACCCGCCATCTTTAACCCGTCTCGCTATATAGGATATAATGTCATGGTGTTGAATGTGGATCTTCTGTCTTCAAATGGAAAAATATATATATATATTTTTAAAACTTTTAGTCTGTGTATGTGTGTTTGCCTTTGTGTCATAGCCCAAATATGTATGTAAAGAGTGGGATCCCAATCTGCCCCCTCTCTGCCTGCCTAATCCGGAATACTTGGCTCCGGAGTACATCCTGTCTGTCAGCTGTGACTCCGTCTCTGACATGTACTCACTGGGCGTGGTCATGCATGCAGTCTTCAATGAGGGGAAGCCAGTGTTCCAGGTCAATAAGCAGGATATTTTCAAGAGTTTCAGCAGGCAACTAGACCAGGTGAGACTAAACCCTAAAATGTTTGGTGTAAAAAGAGGCGTAATTTTCCCCGTTACACAAATATATTCAATCAGTCAAGGCGCTTCGTGTCTGAAGTCGGAAGTCTTTAGCGTTGCGCTTTAAGGGAAGCTTCCAGGTCTAAATCATCACACTCATCCAGACCGAGTTGAGTTGTTCAGGATCTCACAGTTTGTTTGGGTTTCCGATATTATGTGACACACTGTGATCTAGGAATATGGACAAAAGGATGTCAAATAGCTAAAAACAGCACTAGAGGGAAGATAGGTCAGAATGGTTTAGTGTCACAGGTGTTTATGCAGACATATTTGTCTCCCAGAGTGCATTCTGTGCCTGCTTTGTAATTCCTCCTCGGCTCACCCTGGTTCCATAATTTGTTCTCTGTTGTTTAATAAAAAAAAACTGGTACTGGGAGACATCTAATTTCTAGTAAATAGCTTTTGGATATATGTAGAGACTCGCATGTAAATGGCTAAATCATTCTTAACTGGAGCCAAGCTCTCTTATACAGTTGAGTCGTCTGAGTCCGGGAGTGCTGAGTAAGATCCCAGAGGAAGTGCGGGAGCATGTGAAGATGCTGCTGAGCGTCACAGCCAACGTCAGACCAGATGCAGACCAGATGACGAAGGTGAGATCCTATTCTCCGAGCTGTCAAACCCATTTGTTGTGCTGCAGCGCGTCTAATTCAGTTCATTAACAGCTTGATAATGCTCATAGGTAGAACCAGGTGTATTGTGCAAAGGAAAGTTCACGTAACAGCTGAAATCAGACACACCCATTGCTTAATTTAACCAAGACTTATGTCACACAAGTATTGTATCAAATCACCACTAGCCAGATATAAGCTGTCTTTGTGTACTGTCTTTTCTCTACCCTTTTTTTAGATCCCGTTCTTTGACGATGTAGGCGCGGTGACGCTGCAGTATTTCGACTCGTTGTTCCAGAGAGACAATTTACAGAAGTCACAGTTCTACAAAGGCCTTCCTAAAATCCTTCCCAAGCTGCCCAAGGCAAGGAATAGTGACCATGTTATCTGCGATCACTGTCTCTTGATATTTCTCTCTTGCCTGCTCTTGTATATCCCCGTCTGTCTATAGGAGTACATGAAACCGAATTCTCCATCTGACTCAGCAGAACAAAATATGCATAGCCCTGATCAGTCAAGACTTGAGCGTAGGTTTATTTGGCGATGTTGTTTTAAGACAGGTGGCCCTGAAGCCGTAAGCACCTTATACAGTGTGCACGGGCTAAATGTGCAAAGGGCTACATTTGAGCCATGTGCCCTCTGCATGTGCCGTACATGTGTTTTTGCCATGATTGGGTATTTATATGAAGGCTCTGTGTAGCAGTTTGTGTTTGAGTTGTTGTTCTTCTCTTCTACAGAGAGTGATAGTGTACCGGATCCTTCCAGCCCTCACCTCTGAGTTTGTGAATCCAGACATGGTACCGTTTGTGTTGCCCAACGTGCTGCTCATAGCAGAAGAGTGCACCAAAGAAGAGTATGTGCGTCTGATCCTACCAGACCTCACCCCAGTGTTCAAACAGCAAGAACCCATTCAGGTACATGTTGTATCCAAGAAAACACACACACACATCACTTCAGTTAACAACCACAGGGCTTACAGCGCCGCATTTGGGACAGGGCCAGAGAAAAAGTACCTTGTTGCTAACTGAGGTGCATTTAGTGATTCTGTTATTTAACAGAAATATCAATTAACACATTTTCCCCTACTCGTAATAGTGTAAAATATTAAAAGTAATTCTATGAAGACAACCTCCACTGTTCCATTGGACATCCAGTAAAGTTTTAATGAAAGAACAACAGAAATCTATTAAAACACTGCTCAAAAACCAGCTGAATCAGACTCGTATCTGAGAACCTCCCGGACACTGTGTAAATTCTAATAAATGTTGCTTGTCCCAGCTCTCTGTCTCAGTTTTGTGAGAGGGACCTGCAACATCAAAAGAAGCTTGAACGAAACTTTAACCAATAGTAAGATCTCCCACTTTACAGGGATTAAATAGGGGGAAAACATCTATTATACAAAGTTCGCACTACATATTTTGTCCATTTGAGCACCGTTGATTTCAGAGTGTTCCCTGGGCCTTTAAAATAGATTAGCAACACACACACACACACACACACACACACACACAAGATGGATGAGTCCCACATGTGTCACAATGTTGAATTAATTTTATGGTTCCTCAGTAGTGATTAGTGATAGATCCTTTGGCACACACACACTTCACGTCCTCACAGCTGGCCTATTCTTCTCTCAGTGGATAAGTGTCCTCACTTTTTCTCCTGAACCTCTTTTCTTATTTTCCTTTCCTCCCTTCATGCTCTCAGGCCAGCAACATGGTGAGTGGTCTTTGCAATCAGTCGTTCAGTTGTGTTGTGTTGGTTGCATCATTCGGTGTTTTGTCCAATAGTTTCCAGTAGTTACAACATTATATATC